TTTATCATGTGACATTCACGTTACAATGCTATTTTTTTACATGTGGCATTCACATGATAAATTTTTACACGGAACCAGGAGACCTTCAGTCAGGTTCTTCTCTAATCCRATCAAAAGGCAGAAAAGTTAAGTACTCTAATATCGGTATCCAGGGCCCACGTTTGTTTCTGAAAAAATTATGGCCTTGTATTTTGTCCCCTGGTTCCTAACAGTAGCCAATCAAAAAACAGTTTTGCCAGAGACCAAAAGGAACATGGGCTCATGAAGCACAAAATGTACCAAAAAGAGTAAGATTGTTGAACTATATTTATAAAATAACTTTTAAAAATAACTCTCTTTACCAGTTGTGCTGGACCTGTTTGAACATTCATATCCCTGTATTCCTGGACCAAACTCAATGCATCAGTTTGAGTGCACTCTTCTCTCAAAATTGGCAACTCTTTTTCCCCARCAGCATTGTTTGAAGAGCAAAAATCTTGCCTACTTTCTGGCAATGGAAAATACCAGCTTGGCTGGTCCGACGAATCTTTTYCCTCGACATCATGGTTGTTRAGTTCTTGGTTAAATGATTTTCCAATTGTTTCTTCTTCGACGATGCGACATCCAGCGCTTTTGATATCTTCATCAAAAGACATTTCCCTTGGCTGGTCATTTGTTTGATCCTTCATTAAGACAGATACAAGATCTGGTCTTTGGAACTCAGCAAGGAATTCTGCTAAGTCATCATTAGACAGTGACTTTAAGGTTTCTTCCAGTTTATAATCTTCATAGTTACTTGGTCCTTCCTGAGGTCTCCTTTTCTTTGCAAACCAATTTTCTGCAGCTCTTGCTCTTTCTTCGTCAGAGTAGATGGTCTGTACGAAATGGCTCCACAACAATGACACTCTCGCTTCCATTTCAGACAGTTGGTCATGCAACATTCCTATATGAGTGGACAGTTTTTGAGTMTTTTCCTGTTGAGGTAAAACAAAGGTATAATCATCAATCAAAAATTTTTCAGCCTCCCAGTTCAAAATAAACTGGAGAGCCCGTAATGTGTTCTCTTAAAATGAAATTAACTCCTTAGAAGAAGATCAGTGCTGATTTTTAAACAAAATATTTTGACAAGTAAATAGACCTTGGTTGTGGCTCTTATRACTATATATAAAATGGTGGTGCAGTGTCATTAAGAGACATTAAACAAAGAGGGACACCAGTTTATTAGTTGCCGTTGCCAAGTAGTGCAACCTCCTAAATAAGTTTTATTTAAGTTTCTTTCATTTACCTGGAGGTATTCAAGTTCAGCAATAAGCCTGGCAATGGGTTTGAATGGCTTCTCGAGAGCATCTCCTTTAACAAGAAAATTAGCATTCTCATCAATTTGCTTATGAGAAAGTCTTTCCCGGGCACTTGGCTCTGTCTCACTAGACTGTAGTTGTTCTACCTCCACATCTTTAAGATACCAATCCTTTAACTTCTCTACGTTTCATTTGTCCGTTTCCGTTATASGAGAAGTACTGTATCTATATTTCTATATCTTCCTGGAATTAATACTTAATTTTACTCAGTCCCATAGGATTACCTAGTATGCAAATCTACTGGAATAGACCTGTCTCAAATTCGCCTGGATGACCACGAAACAATGGTTTTGAGTCGAGATTGAACTCAATGAATAAATGAATCAAGTTCAATCTCAGTTCTTCAAACCATTTTTCATGGTCATCCAAGTGAATTCAGGAAAGGTCTATCATTAAAGAAATAATTTTAAACTAAAATGGTAAAGCACTACTGTGTATAGCTTTATGTAAGCTCTGCTAACCCTTACTTGCATCTGAAATCCCTGAGTGTTCACATACCTGGTCCAGYGGTAGGGTCTGGGGCTCCATCAACAACATTAATCTGGTGATTTTGGTGATGATACAAAAGATACTGCGAAAACTTCAAAAGCTGTTCACTGCTTAGGTCATTCAGAGCATCTGATACAGGCAATCTCATTTTGGATTGGTCAAAGCTGTCGGCATTTCGGATTCTCATCAAAGCAGTAGCGATGACATGAAGGCACCAGCTTGATGAGGRGTCGCATGTGCATTGTGCAGAAGTTATCTTACCACGATCAAAATGAATGGTAACATACTTGTCTTCCACACTGGCACTTAGTCGAAACCCTACAAAGATTAATGTAAACAGTTTCAAGTTTATGCTAGATAAATTTCACTTGACACTCACATACTCTTATATTAAGAGAGAATTCTTTTCGTATTCAAGCAGTGAGCATCAAGAACTATTTTCTTGAAGAAAGGCTGTTGTACAAGGCTAAAATCTTGTTATTCAGAAAGTTTGAAAGTGGAGATGACCGATGAAAGTGGAATCAAAGTGCTAACCCAAAGCAAAAATATTATTCGAATATGAGGTTTAGGCCTTCATTTGCTTATTTCCCATATACTTTCTATAAAAAAGCCTGACAAAGCAACATCCTAACACAAATGCAACAAAGCATCTTTGTACAATTGAAAATACCTCTTCAAACAGGCATTTTATCATAGTACATCAGTTTCTGTTTAAAAAAGGTTTTGAATGTTAACCCAAAACGAAAATTGGGATCAAAACTCATATGAAAGTCTAATTTTTGGTGCTTTTTGCTATTACTGCTCATTATCGAAAACAATTTCCTCTTAATGTCAAAAATGATCAAAATAATGAGCCTGCTCTAACTAATAAAACATTCATTGCCCAACTATTAGCCAGCCATTATATTGAATATGAATGATGAAACAGTGTAGTGCTTGTGTGCTTTGTGCTCACATAAAGCATGCACCCACCGACCAATAAGGAATAAAGATGTATTACACATTATTATATAATGGAAATATACAAAATGCTTACCTATCTGCATCATATCTTTCACTTTAACAGCACTACACAGTTTTGATGGATAGTTTATATCTGCTCTGGACCGACTAAACTCCGCATACTTTCTAATCTTCTCCTCACTGTCTGGAAATGAAAACCTAATCACTTTCAGCAGCAGATCATCTGGTATAGGTGGAAACCTGTCTTGTAGGTATGCGAAAGGAAAATTCAACGCCAAATATCCTGCACAGATATTAACCAATGAGCTACACTGAAACACTTTTGGGGTGCTATCGGCATTATTCTTGCCATCTTCCGATTCTTTTGATAGTTTTTCCTTTTCACTCTTAATCTTGTATTCAGCAAGTCTCCTGGCATATCTGGCCTCATTATCGCTATCATAATAATCATAGTCATCGTAGTAATCATCATCATCATAGTATGGACCACTGTCATCAGTATCACAGGCATAATCTCGCCTGGTGTAGTAGTACAGCTCTTCATCGTCGGAAAACATTGGATTAACTATAAATGATAACTAAGCAATAAAAGGTATGCTAAAATTTCTCGACGTAGCTCAAAGTTTACCCTAAKGAAGGAAAATAGCTGATGGTTATTCGAGCAAAAAAAAGGATCTTTGTTCGTTGTTGAACTTTAGTAAACGTTCCCTTAGGTATTTAGAAATATTTCTCCTTTGTGTTGCAGTGAATAAAGTAGCAGAGAGGCTGCGAATAGTCGTTTTTGAGACAAGATGAAGGAAGATGTAGCTTTTCTTCCAACATCGTATCTCGTGGTACCCAAACAATCTCTCGTACCCAGAGCCCTTATTTCTTACTGCGCATGCTCGACGAAATCTGTGTTTCTCGCACATGCGCATTATGACAGACTAGGTAAATTCAAAATGGCGGACGATGTTCAACGAGCATGTGAATTTGCGCTTGGAAAATTAGGTTTTGAAGATGGTTTTCAGTTAAATTAACTCCGAAAATATCTATCGAATGGACATCAATAATAATTCCATTACAAAACCGGCAAAACTTTGAAAAATCCGGCCCTACAGGCTTTTTTGGTGTACTTAATTCGAGATGCCATCTTGTTTATTTTCCCTAGTACTGTAATTTTTACTTCCGGTATCTTCCTTTGTTCTTAAGAACCAATCACAGCACAGGAAATAATAGAGTTTTCCAGAGCCCAATTATTTCGTCGAGCMWGCGCAGTAAGAAATAAGGGCTCTGGGTACGAGAGCAACTTTTCTTCAGTCTTTCCGCGCACTCGCAGTAGTGTAGCTTCTCGTAACCTTTGCTATGATTGGTTCGTAGCTAATTGGCGGTATCGCATCGAGGGTATCGTACCAATCACATCCCTTGTTAAATAATTATCTGATTTGATTGGTGCATATAGTATTAGTTTTTGTTATATTAGTTTTTGAATTTATTTCGGAGTGCCATATAACAGCTTCGCTTCGTTTGGATTACCGTCAAGTTATCATTAGTGTATTAGTATTTATTGGGCAGTTGTATTTTKAGTCCRCACACCCCCTATTGAGGACATTCGGAAAATCCAAGGGAGGGGTGCCTTGCGTTCTCTGGAAAATCCAAGGGAGGGGTGGTCTAAAAACGTTGGATTTCMAAGGGAGGGGTGCCTTGAGTTCTCTGGAAAATCCATTTTGCATATCATTAAATATACTGAATAAATTAGATATTTGTATAAATGTATACTACAACGTTTCTGAAATCGAGTGTGTATATATATATATATATAATATAATATAATACTCTCCTTTTGAATTAAAAAGTGTACACAGTTGATAGTATAGATTAAAATACATTTTATTTTAAAACAAAGTT